TTTATACAAAAAATATGTACTTATCAATACAAGATTGTCCATACAAGATATTAAAATCTCACTCACATATAAATAACAAGTACTTTCTTAAACATGATAATCTTTGTGCTGAGTAAGTTTTCTGTATATTAGAAATAAAAAAAAAAAATTGTGAAATCAAACAAATTAAACTTTATTGATGTATCAAATAAAAATCTGAATATACTTCACTTTAAGAATACTGGCACACTCATGAAAATTTTCATTAATACCAATGAATACATTATACATGATGTGTACATATCACAACTCAATTAACATACTTCTGTATCTGTCTTTCTAGCACAGAAGTAAATCCACTGTATGTATCAAAAAAAAAGAATACCCTCCTTAACATTCCCCTTATTAAGAAAGACATATCCATAATATCAAGGATCAGCACTCCATAGCAAATGTGATTCTGAAGTGCACCGTTATAAAAAAGAAAAAAAAAAATCTTGCAATATACAAACAAGTGACACACACAAACATGCAATATGAAGATGCCTGGAATATATACATATTGTAAATAAGGATAATTTAGCTGCCTCACAACTCAAAGATCCATCAGAAAGTCATAGGATCTATTAAAACAACTGTCTGCCATAAGAACTCATTAAGTCATCCACATGCCTTCTCAATCCATCACTTGATCTGCTTGCTAACTCAACTTGCTACTTTCTCAGTCAACAGATGGCTCCTTTTGTCACGTGAATCCGGAAAAGCAAGTGACAAAAGACTTTAATGACATGTGATAATCAACCAAGAATGACCTCGAATGAGATACACTCTCCTGCGAAGGGGATTTATCTCAAATCAATTTTGAGGCTCTAACCAACACTCAGCCAAGAGATTCCTCCCTTGTCGTTCTGGTTCCCACCCCGCTACAAAATACAAGGGAATACACATATGAGTGGATTTCAGAAACAACATATTTGCAGTCATTTCCTTTCCCAATAATACCTGAACAATATAAATCCATCAACTGAGCCATGAGATATCCATATGATAATCCAAATCTTTGAATCACTCTGAATCACATTTGGAGAGGATGAGAAATCGGACTTTGAAAATCACTGACAGTTATATCAGAAAACCACAGCAGTGCAAAATAGTACATGATGTTAAACACATTCAACTTTCAAATATCACTGATAATATCGTGTTGCAATATCTTCATCAAACCACCTCATATTCATCTCAGCTACAATGGCCTCCACACATGTTCCAACTTATTTTTGAATGACAGTCGCACATGATGCAATTTTGAACTTCAATATATCTGGCACTTACATACATGTATATTAGTCAAACAAGACAAAATTTTATGATCAACATATAGGTAGGTCCCTTACAATTCTATCAAAAATTATAATCATAATAAAGGACAAGTTACAAACTAGTAACTTATCCAACTTTTAAAACTAAATTTAAGTGAAATGGCTACATGTAAACTAGATTTTCACAATGACAACATGGGCCTTCACAGCATTATAATGGCAATTTAATTTTCTTCTTGTGTTTATTTTTCACATATCAAGTAATGCACTCTTCTGAATAGAGACCAAATGCTTTATGGGGCTTTGTTCACTTTCTAATTCAACAGAAAAGAGAAAAGAAAACTTATCCAATTATATTTTTATAAATAAAAATAAAAAATCACTCAGGCACTATTCTTTTTTATTACATCACAGGTCTGACAAATTAAAAGTCCATCACAGATCATAACTCTTTTCACAGTTTACGTAAATCCCATGTGCATTAGAAAGTTACTTTTTTTCAGCCACCATCCACTCATTCACATACTATCAATTCAACTTCATAATGAAATCTTTTATGTTATCATATCACCAGCCAAAATTAAAATCAAGGTACATTCCCATTACTAAAGAACTGTTTTCATTTCATTACCTACAGTCTCTCCAGATTACTGAATATTACACTAAATCTGATTTTTATATAAAAAAAAATGCCCAAATAAGAAAATAGAAATGAGCCAGAGGATATAAGAGAACTACATCTTATTACTATTCATTAATAATGTCATGTTGGCTGATAAATAAAACTGCAATATCTATGTCATCATCCTGACCCCATGGCATTCTCTCTCTATACCATTCTAAAAAAATTAGGAATCCTATAAAACAAAAACAGAAAAGTGCATCTAAGAGTTAAATCAATGTCCCACAGTATATAAAACTCTCCTGAATATTTTGTGGAATATAAAGCTGAACTATATGTCCGTACACAAAATTTGTGTCTAAACTTTCTAGCCTAGTTCTGCCATAAATGAAGTTTCTCTTCCACTATTTACCTATATATTTAATTCCAAAGTTCTTATGTTTTGTACACACTAAGACTCCTCTTTTGTCAATGGTGTTCTATCTTCAGTTTGGGGGATCAAAGTCTTGTTACTATTGTATAGAGAAATAAACTTCATATTACTAAATAATGCAATAACTAACATTCCAGTACAGATTGCAAACATACATTCAGTTGAACTAATAATAGTATTATTGTGGACAAGCAGCAGACCAGCACATGTAATGATATTGGTTGGGACTCTGAACCAGTTCATGATACCTGCTCTCAGATCCTCTGGAATGACCTGGGACCGCAGGTACCCAATGGCTGGGAAGTACATGCCAACACCCACTTCCAGAATGAGGAAGGCAAGGAAGGAGAGGTACAAGTGGTTGCCGCTGGTGGAATAAATGCACAAAGACATGGCTACAATAGCCATACCAACCGCCATCAGCAAGAGTTGTTCAGCCGAATACTTCTTGGAGAAGAGCATGGAATATATGGACGAGCCAATCATAATGCAGACCATGAAACTTGCAAACACCATGCCAAGGGGAGGGTGTCCAGGTCCCAGGACAGGGGTCCACTGGAATACAAAAATATACATGTTGGCTTCAAAGAGAGACTGAACCACACCCAAGAATAGGATAGAATCCTTAAACAAGATGGACCGAAGACCTTCCATGCAGGACTTCCTCAAATCGATCGCCTGATTTCCATAATTTTCTCTCCAGGTCTGCGAAATGATCAGACCTGCCATGATCAAGAAGGGAATGGCAAGCATGAAGGGAGCAACTGGTCCAAAGGCCAAGGTCTCAGCAAAGATGTTGGAAAACACCCCAGCATTTATGGCCAGCACACCGTTCCAGAAGGTTGCCTTGGAGAAGGTCACTGACAGCCACTCACTAGGGAAGTCATGCGTCTCTGTATGCTCATAGACATACCATGACTCAAAGGTTGAGAAGAGCATGGATGTTGATATACCACCAAAAACCCTACCCATAAATAGCCAGAAGAAGCTGGAGCTGAGTTTTGTTAGGCAACAGAAGGAGTACATGATGCAGAAGCAGAGAGCCATCTTCTTACGACCAAACCGATCAGCCAGGGGTCCTGTTGTTGTCCCGAAGATGACGCTGCTGGCAAAACCCACCACATACAGGAGGGCTATTTGGTTGCTGGCATAACCATAGTGTTCATAAAGCTTGTACACATAGGGGCCCTGCAGCCAGTCAGAGAACAATGCCATGAAGTACACCAGGAAAAACGAATATTGGAACTTCTTGAAGTGAGGGTTATTGGCTGACGTGATTTGGCTCTTGGTCTTCAGGGAGAGGAAGTGCAAGGCCAGAGCTAAGAGGGCCAAGAGGGTGAAGGAGCCATAGATGAAAGCCTCCATTGTGGAAGCCGTGCCAATCACTGGGATCTCCACCGACTCCAGGGTCTGCAAAAGAAGGCCAGTATGAGCAAGATGAAGGATTTTAGATCTTTGATTTGCCCATTGATATCAAGATCGGAAAAATGCATACCATGTCTAATGCGTATTCTCTTCATGAATTATCTTTACTCATGGTTCCAAAAGTGATTAATTATAAGGGAGTCAATTACTAGCCCTACCTATCACACCTGTTTACTCTTTTGATTTATTTTCAAAAGGATTTTTTTTTCATTTTCTATTACTATAATTGTTAATAACATTACAACAATCATAATGTCAATAACAATAATAACATCCATATCAATACCATTAGAGAAAAAATCCCATAATTCAAGGAAATGGGAAATCAGATGAGGTCACGTAAGCCATCTAATTACTTCCATGGTGGCTAAGCATTTGTGTGCAAGCAAATTTCACAAAAGAAAACTAGAGTAGATGGTGTAATTCCCAACAGCAGTGGACTAATAATAATAACCTTAAAAATAGTAATAGCAGGATAATTTCTTTTAATAAAGCCAGTTTTCTGTAACAGAGTTATCAATAAACATATTTTGTATACATTGTATAAAAGCATATTAAAATAGAATTAATATTTTTAAGGGCAAAATCTTTAAAATTCTGACAAGATAATCATGCAAATCAAACCCCAAAGCATATAAACTGTGTTTATCAAATCACATCAAGTATGTGCTTTCAAATACATATAGAATCTCTACATCTGTTTATTTGCTAAAATATTTGTGTAACATTGGGCATCCATTTTCCTCATTCATACAACATACATAAACTGTGAGCATGATTAGGTAGAGTTAACCCTAACATCTGGTATATTTGCATACAGCAAATTAGCATTTGACAACCTTTACATTTACTGTGCATATCTGACAACAAAAATTGCATCTGACCATCACTGAAGGCAGTAGATAATTTCACAGACAATTAAGTGACATGTATGACTGTCATACAACAGGCATTGATAAGCAGTCATTCATACACAAGTACGAGGGAAGGAGGGAGCCAGCCAAAGACTGATGACGATGATATGGACAATTGTAAACATAAAAGCAATAAGAAAAATATACGCAAGAAAAAAGTCACAAGGCACACAGACAATGCAAAGGTGATAGAATTGCATTAGTTACAGATGAATTCTCAATGACAATCTCTCACTCATCATCACTGGACAAAAGATTACAATTAAAACATACTTTTCATTTGCTCCCCTTAATTTCATATTATGATAGCTAAGAATGATACACAAAGAAATCAGTTTCTTTAAGCATCAAACAAGCCATTTTGATTGGAGATGCTCCTACCCCTAGTACTAATTAGATTTTTCCATTCAATTTTTTCACATCTGATGAGCTATCTCAATACCCACTACTCAACAAATGTGAGGCTTTACTGTATTCTTCATCTTTGTTTGTACTGCAGCTGTTATTGTACAAGAGGGAAAAATACACTACTTACATCTGAAAATGAAATAACCATTAAGGTAAGAAAATCTATTCTCCACCTCTACCTCCACCTCTACCTCTACCTCTATCTCCACCTCCACCTCCACCTCCACCTCCACCTCCACCTCCACCTCCACCTCCACCTCCACCTCCACCTCCACCTTCCCACCTTACCTTCACTCTACCTCCACCTCCACCTACAGCTCCACATCCATGTCCACTGCCACTTCCATTTCCACTTCCACCTCCATTTCCTTCTCTACCTCTACTTCTACCTCTACCTCTGCCTCCACCTCTATCTCTACCTCCGCCTCTACCTATAATTTCACCTCCTCCGTCTCCACCTCTACCATCACTATCACCATCACTGTGATCATCGTCATACTGTCAGTACCATAATCACCTCCGCCACATTCATCTTGTAATAACAACAATAATTAGTAGAAAAAATAGAGAATACATTAGGAAAATCAAAACACATAATCATTAGGGGGAACTGTATGAAGATACATAAAACCCAAGAATATTTTTAAAGAAACTATAACACCAAAATATGGCCATTACACATCTCGTTGCAAAGTCTTGAATTGTCAACCACAACTTTTCTTTTTCAATGACCTCTGCTCATGTACTCTTAAGCTATATATATATTCCAGCCAACTACAATTATATAGACATGCTTCTTAACCACTAGCCGCCTGGTGAAATGCACATACATGCCATGGCTGATGTGGACCGAAAAATAGATGGCATCGTATCATGACCATTCCCACGCCACTGGCTCATCAGACGGAGTTTGTTTTTCTCCGATAGTAGCGGCTTCCTTTATATGGTAAAGAATTTTGGCAATAGTACCTATAATGAAGGTAATCCTTCAAAATTATAATATCTTTATAAATTATAGCAAAAAAAAAGCTTTTAGGTACCAAATGTCACTCGCAAACTACCGAATGAGCTGGGCACAAACAGGGGAAACTGTCAATACGCGCCAACAATTCTGTTATTACGTCCACTTGCCAAATTTTTTTACCCGGCAGCATTGGGTTAATACCACTGTAATGCTTTTTTTTCCCCATTTCAAATTATTTTCTTTTTCTGCTCGTTCTCTTTTACTACTGTGATCTGCATACGAACATCAATTTACATACCAAATTCAGAGACTCGCTTTCAACACTCATTAAGGAATTTTGACCGTACAAGTAAACGATTTCTCTATTTTCAAACATTTTTCTTTCCCTGCCTTACACTCATAATCACTTAACCTTTTCGGTGGAAAAGAAATTTTTAAAATGTTCCAGGATATATCTGCACTGCTAGAGAAACCAAAAGCGTCAAAGTTCATCACTATCTAATAACAGCATCAGGAAATAAAACTGATTCAACATGAAACAGTCATTACCTCGAGTACAGTTTAAGTATGATCAACAGCAACGGTTTTTCCTTTATTTGTTTTTTCAAGGCACTTCTCTCTGATCAACAGCAGTTCACAATAATATACTTGGAGCTTACAGATCTAATTAATCCCAACACATCGCACCTAGTTCTATCATTCTATTTCAAATGGACTGAATTTGATAGCTGGTTTTTGCTAATGTCTATCAATTTTTTCTTCTTCATTTCCAAATAAAGACAAGAAATAATTGAAGACTTAAGAAAATGAAAAAAGGATATAAGAATAGAAAACATGCAGTAATCAAGAAAGAAAAGCTAAAAAATAATAATAATAAAAAAAAAGAAAGAAAAAGCAATTAACGTTTTGCTTTCCGGGAACTGTAGCACCGGTCACACCTGTCTCGCGCACAAACACTGCCCTTCCCTTATTGGCCTCTCCCTTGTGCTTGTCCAGGATGGAACTCAACACGAAAAACAAAACATGCTCGTGAGGAGAGACCCGTAACCCAATGAGTAGATTACCCTGCATACTGCACAATCCACCCCATCCTTTTTAGCTTGAAGAAATGCCTTAACGAAGTTTCTCCTGAATTCATTCCAACTTCCTTCCCACCTAATTTCACATTTACATAGATATGTTGTTACTATCAGCCAGTCGTTATCATTTTATGACTGTTCTTGCCTGTATATTCTTTTCTTTCTTCTTTCTCTCTTTATTCTTATCCTTATCTATTTATCTAATTCATCTATTATCTATTATCTATTTATCTATTCATCTATTTATCTATTTATTATTTATTTATCTATTTATTTATTTATTTATTTATTTATTTATTTATTTATTTATTATTTATTATTTATTATCTATTTATCTATTTATTTATTTATTTATTTATTATTATTTATTTTTATTTATTTATTTATTTATTTATTATTTATTATTATTTATTTATTTATTTATTTATTTATTTACTATTATTTATCTATTTATTTACTAATCTATTTACTCACCTATTAAAACATGTACTTATTAATCTATTTACCTACTTATCTATCTATCCATCCATTTCTCTATTTATCAATCTTTTTCCTTCTTTTCTTGCTTTTAACCTTTCCTAGAACTTCAAATAATCAACAGATAAGCTCTTACAGTGATAAATATTTTTTTCTAAACTGTATAATCTTACACTTATATATTCAATTCATTAAATCAATTTATCATCATTCATTTATCATTATTTTCAAGGTATCATTTGTGCAAATAAAGTACAGTTCTTGTGAATATTCTAAAAACAGGAGCATTCATAAGAATTATAGTTATTACATAAATACGTATTTTTCAAAGTACAATCCCAGCCATCACTATCTTCATCTGCTTCTTTTCTTTTTCTTTTTTTCCTTTTTTGACACCTATGTGTCTCTTGTAACACCACTGATAGTAGTAATATAAAATTCAATGATAAGAATTTATGGTATCACATTTAATGGGATAATTATTGTTTTACTATAAAGCAAAACACTTGCAAAAAGGTTTCATGAGATCATTCTGCACACACTGTATAAAATTACAAACCCAAGCCCCATTCACCACCAGGAAAACAAGAAAATATAAATAAAACAGAAATGCTTCAGCACTCCAAGCATGTGTGTAGAAAGACAGTAAAAAAAACAAAAACAAAAATTTAAAATAATTCTCAAAACAAAACAACAAATTCCACCACCAATCACCACTGTAAATCTATTTCTTACCACCAGAGGCCCTGGGTCGACAGGTGCACCATCCCCTGATATCTCAGACATGTTACCTCGTCTGCTGCAGGTGAGAGAGTGAGGGAGAGTCAGGGTAACTACAACATATGTATCGTCCACACAGGTGTGCCAGACAAGTGGTGGGGACTAGGCGGGTGTGAGAGGTAAGGGGATGGGGTGGAGGAGGTGGTGGTGAGAGTGAGGAGGAGTGAGAAGTGGAAAAATAGGGGTGGGATGGGGAGGATAAGAATGGTGAGGTTGGAATAAGGTGAGAAGTGGTAAAATAGGGGTGGGATGAGGAGGAGAAAGAGGTGACTGAGAGTGCGTAGGGGTTGATAAATGGAGAAATGGGGGAGGATTAGGAGGTGGTATGAGAGAGTAAGGTGGGGATAAGAAATGGATAAATGGATGAAGAGAAAGGGGATGAGGAGATGGTGAGGGAGGGAGACGTTTTTTTGAACTATGGGAGGAACAATATATACAGATGCATTTTCTGAAAAAAAGGGATGCAGGACACATCTACAAAAAGTAGACAATACACAACTTGAGAGAAACACAAACTAACAAGACCATAGATTTTGCAGAAAGGACATTAAACTAAAAACAAACAATAATAAAGATATATACAGTTACCTCTCTGAGATATCATGGATCTTAGTGTACAAGTAAACACACATAGTACAAAGAAAGAGAAAAGCTCAAGGAGAAAATGAAGAAAAAAAATATCCGAGACTTTATGGTTATAGAGCTTACTGGTATCAATGCACACCTACACATGTTCTCTGTTTCAAGTGTCTTTACTACAATAAAAAGGGGAAGAGGAGGGGTCATATCCCTGTGCTCTGTGCTCTCTTATGGGTTAGACATTAAAAGAGACTAAAAATACAGAAATCATGAAACTATAAAAAAGTAAAAGGCTGGAGTAAAAACTGGAAGGCTGTACCATTTTTGAGCCATGATTCTTTCTTTTTTTATGTCATATGTATGATATCAATTGAAGGTATACACATATCAGCACAGATCCACTATAGATCCTACAAATCCTAATGTGATCACAAATAACATACTGAGTTAAAAAGATTAAGGAATAATATCATACTGAGTTAAAAAGATTAAGGAATAAAGGATAAGAAAAATGGACCAAAATAAATGAGGAAAAATCTGAAAAAAACTATCAAGGTGCAATTAAGAAAATATACTGATGTAAAAATTCATATTCAAATTCAAATTAACTTAATCAAGCAATTATATTTCACTCTAATCAAGGGAAAATCAAAGATGATAATTATCAAAAACCTTTTGATTTTGATATGATGAACTGGAGACTTGAGAAATATATTTTACAATATATGACCATCTATCACTGTTTAGGTCTGTAAATCTAATTCATCATATATATACCATCAATCACTGTTAACCTATGTGCCATCAACTCCTACAATCCAGGTAAAGTGACCATCACATTAAGAAAAATTTGGCTTTCATGGCAGGTGACATGAAAATGCACTCGTGAAAAAAATTGGCTAAGGGTTGGGGTGACAGGAACATCTCGTCATGAGAATTTTGGATGAAGGCTTGGGTAACAAGAATGACTCACCATGCGTGCAGAAAGCTTTTGGAGGGTGATTAGACTTAGTCAGTGTTT